AGAGGAGGGTTGACAGTAACCTCTAGGAAACATTGACACTGTATATTGAATTTGCTAGGACTCTTTCTGTTATAAGTAATAGAAAGCCAACTTAAATGGCCACATGCAACAAAGAGAATTTATTGACTCACATAACTGACTGTATTGGGTTGCATAATAAAGTGTCATAGTCTTGATACGTAAACAATAGAAATTATTTTCTCACACTTCTGGAGACTGGAAGTTCAAGATCACAGTGTCAGCAGAGTGGGTGTCTGGTGAGAACTCTCCTCTTGGCTTGTGATACCTCACATGGTGGAAAGAACTCTGGTATCTCTTCCTCCTCTCAGAAGAGCACAAGGCCTATCAGGTTGGGGTACTACCTTTAAGACCTCTTTTAACCTTAATTACCTCATAATGGACCCCATCTCCAAATACAGTCACATTAGGCATTAGGGCTTCAACATTTGAATTGGGGAAACACAATTCTGTTCATAGCACTATTTGAACTTGACTTCTGAGAGACTACCATCTTAGTTCTGCATCCACCTCTGTGGCTATTCCTTTTTGGTCTCCTTTGCTGGATCATCCTGAATTTCCCAATATCTAAACATTGAAAGATTACAGAGCCAAAAGTTTAGACCTCAAGTCTATTCTCATTCCCCAAGTGATTTCATGCCCTCCCATAGCTTTCAATACCATTTCATCTGCCCATGGTTCTTCAGAATTGAATCCCAACTGCCCGGATCACATTTCTATTTGGATGCCTCATAAATATTAAATATTGTAGAGGGAACATGCTGCCTGATATCACTTTAATTCCTAATGATAAAAAAATAGGCCCTGAGTGCTCTTGGCCATCATATTACAGTTCTCTAATAATTCCCGCCCTTTACTGTCCTGGGTGACTCACATCGTCTCTCCTCACACCTCCACCACTTCTCCTAGCCTCCCTCCCAGCTAATACTCCGAATGGTTATTTCATTGAGAAGTAAGGAGTCACAGAGAACCTCCACAATCCTGCGCCACCATCACAACCCACCTAGTAGTATCTCTACCATTTATCCTGCCTTCTCTTGTGTTGCAATGGATGAATCACCCGTGCTGCTTCCTAAAGCCAATCCCTCGATGGTACTGTCCTATCACTGTTGTAACAAGTTTACACAGACTTTATTAGCCCACGGATCTGTAGGTGGGCTTGGCTAGGCACTCTGCTTAGAGTCTCACAAGACTGAAAACATGGTGTCAGCAGGGCTATGTCCCTTACTCGAGGCTCCGGGGAAGAATCCATTTCCAAGTTCATTCAGGTTGTTGGCAGAATCCAATTCCTTGCAGCTGTAGGAGAAAGGTGCCTGTTTCTTTTCCAGCTGGGGGCAGCCCTTAGCTACTAGAAGCCTCTCTGTGGTCCTTGTACATGGGTCTTACATCTCAGAGACAGGAGCAGTGTGTTGTATCCTTCTGATATTTGGAATTTCTTTCACATTTAATGCTGCTGCATCTCTCTTCTGTTTCCAGCCAGAGAAAGTTCTCTGCTTTTAAAGGTTCGTATGATATGATTAGATTGTGTATACCCAGATAATCCAGGCCAGTCTCCCTCACTTAAGATACATAACCTCAATTATATCTGCTAATTCCCTCTTGCCATGTCATATAATATATGATTTATATATTATACATAAACCATATATTATACATATGATTCCAGGGTTCAGGCTGTGGACATCTTTGGAGGGCCATTCTGCCTACCACACACTCCATTTGTACTCCAACGATTTTCCCCTCTCTCTTCTGCATCACTAATTATTCCTCTGACTGGATCATTTCATCAGCATACGAAATGCTGATATTTCTCCCATGTTAACAATGCTCCCTTGACTCCACTGTCCCTTCCAATTAGTGCCCCATTTCTCTGCTGTCTTTGGGGAAAAACACCTTGAAAGAGCTGCCCACACTGTCTGTTTCCAATTCTTCTCCCTTCATTCTTAGTTGATTTTTCACTCTTTCTACTGTACCAAATCTGATTTTGACAAAGGCAGGAATGATTGCTCGTTCTAAATTCAAGTCAGGTTTCAGTCTTCATCTAAACTTTCATTTTACAAAGCTGATCATTGAAAATTTTACTTGGCTTTCAAGATATCACCCACTCAGATTTTTTTCTCACCTCTTGGAGGCTCTTTTCAGTCTCCTCTATTGTTTTTCTCTCTCATACTTCTGACTACTTAATCTTGGACTGCCTGGGGCTTTTCCATCGGTACTTATTCCTTTGATCATCTCATCTAGTCTCATGGCTTTAAATATCATGCATATACAATGGCTTCCACATTTATATGTATAGTTCAAAACTGTCCCTTGACCTTCAGGCTTGTATATTCAACTACCTACTCAACACCTCCATGAAAATATCTTACAGGAAAAGGTAATATGTTCACTGTCAGACTCTTCATCTTCCCCATAAAACCTATTCTTCCCACTGTCTCTTGGTCAGCTCCATTTTTTGGTTTGATGGAGCCCAAAATTTTGGAAATGTTATTGGCTCTTCTCACTAGTCTTCCTCCCTTATACTTAACATCCAATCCATTTAACAAATCCTATTGTTTCTAACACCAAAACATAATGAGAAGCCCCCCACTTCTAGCCACCGCCACCAAAACCAACCTTGTCAACACCACTATGATTTCTGGCTTGTTTTATTGCAACATGCCTTGTATTAGGCCCCCTTCTTCCACTCCTCCTTCCACACAGTGATGCGGCTAAAGTGTAAGACAGGTTACCTCGCTCCTCTGCTTAAAACCCTATGTCTTTCAGAGTAAAAACCTTACATGAGCTGCCCCTCTAGACCCACTGCCCTCTCCTACTGCCCACCAGCCACTCCCACCTCAGATTCCTTGCACTTGATATTCTCGATGACCAGCCAGGGTTGCTCTGCCCTACTCCTTCCTCATCCACTTCTGGTCTTGTTCACATGTCACCTTTACAGCAAGACTTTCCCTGATACTCAATTTCAAATTGTAAGCTCCAGTCTCACCATTAACCCTTCCCTGTGTTGCTTTTTTTTCCCACAATATTATCACTATTAAGTATTCTATATAAATTTTTAATTTATTGTTACTGTTTGTCTCCAAAAAAAATCAGTTTCTCACAGCCCACATCTTGAAATCCTGCCAATTCTATATGAAAACACACACACACACACATACACTCCTCTCCAGAATCTGGCCCTCTTACCTTCTCCACTGCTTTCACCCAAGTTCAAGCCATTATTACAATGGCCTCATTATTGCTCTCCATGCTTCTACTCTTGCTGCCCTAGAGTCTATTTTCCGAACAGAAGAGAGAGGAAATCCCTTTTGGATTTTTGTCAGATCATAGGCATTCCTTAGTTCAAAACACTCTGATAGGTTTTTCATCTCAGAATAAAGTCTAAAACCTGTACGTAGCCTATAAGATATTTCCTGATATTGTCCCAAACATACCTCCCTGAATCCATTTCTTCCCTTTGTTCATTCTCTTCCAGCTGCTCTATTTCCCTTATTGTCCTTTGAATATGCCAAATTTCACCTGTCTTAGGCTTTTGTGCTACTCTCTCTGGAATTCAGAGACACACATGACCTACTTCTTCATGTCATTCAGGCCTCCACTCAAAGCTGCTTCATCAGAGCGCTTCTCTGGTCATCATACCTAGAACAGAAAACACACACACACACACACACACCACGCACACCACGCACGCACGTACTCTAGTCTGTGCCGTTTTTTATTTTGAAGCCCTTATTACAAACTGACATTATATATTTACTTACTTATATTGCCCATTTCCCCCCTCACCCAAAAGATAACCTACGTAAAAGCAGATACTATCTGTTTTGTTCTCTGCTGTATCTTCAGCATCAAAGATCAACTCCCACAGTGACAGGTTTGCTTAACCCCAGCACATAAGATCTTAGAGATATATTAATACCTTCTTTCTCCAAGAATCAATATTCATATTTGCAAAAGGACTCTGGCTTTCTCCAGTGTTATGCCTACCCCTGAAACATTTTTTGTGTCTATAGCAGTGGAGAAACCTGATTGGCCAGCCTGGGTCACATGCCCCTTACAGTTCTGCTGTGGGAGTGGGGGTTGTGGAGAGGGCTGTGCAATCCATAGATATAGGAAGGAAAGTTTCCAAAAGAAAAAAAAGAGGTTCTGTTAGCAGAATGGGGTGGGGGAGAAGGGAGAGGCTATGGGGGAGGCAGAAACAACAGATGGCCACCACCACCAAGCTTTTCCAGAGTGGGAAGAGGAAGAATAAGCTGGGGCCCCTGGTAGAGAAAGTACCTTAAATAACTGTGCTTCACACACTGGGGAGAACATGCTGACACCCTAGGCGTGCCTGCATGGCATCATTGTGCTCTGCTTCCCGAATGGCTGCTGTGGGGAATGCGGGAGGGATCTCCCTAGCATGAATAATCCCGGCAGTTCACCACATAAACTGGAGGAAAGACAGAAAAGCAGAGATCAGCAGCAGCATAAACACGATTTCTATTTTTTCACCACAGAGAATATTGTTCATCAGCTCATTTGCGCAATTCTGCATCCATGGCTAAAAAGATTAAGCAATAATTCATTTTTAGGTGAGGGGAAAAAATGAATTAGTTCAAAATAAGCAACAGCTGTGACATGGGCATATGTACACGCACTAACATTTGGAAAAAATATGTAAATCTTGCTGCTATTGTTTAGCTCAGGGGTTTTTGTCTATTTTTTGTTTCTTTGTTTTTATTTTTGTGTTTTTGTTATACTTAATCACAAGGTAGTTTAAAATTTCTAAATGTATTCCTGAATATAGAAAATGTTTCCTGGGTTCTCCTGAGAGTGGGGTGCCCAGGCTAACCACAGGCACACACACATTCTTTCCATAGTACAGTACTTTAAAATTAATAGCACATGCAGAGGAAGAACTAAACCCTTTGACGTCACTCTTGAAATGAGGAAACATAAACAGAAAAGGCTCCACTCCAGTAAGCTGCCAGAGTTGAAGCCGATTGGTCTCTGCCTTCCCTTGCCTGTGGCAACTGACAGCACCTCCCAGCCTCGCAGGCCGGCTGCCTGCTCCCCCAGCCAGTCGGTGGGTCTGGGCACTGCAGCAGGCTCGGCTCTGTCCCAGCACTTGTCTGGGAGGAAAGTGGTGTACTCACCCAGAGAGAATCTCCCTTTCACCTTCCTTCTTTCTCGATCTCTCTGTGTGCTGTTTGTGTTTCTTTTCTTTCTTTCTTTTTTTTTTTACTTAATTATATTCCTAATCCTGGATGAAGTTGCTGGATTCTGCAGCACAAGTCTTCATGAACAAGCAGCACCGCTCAGAGATTTCACGGCATTCAAAGGTCACAGAACTGCCACTATGGTTAAATGTCTTGTTTAATGGTTGAGGTAGGTACAACAAATTTAAGCGGCAAGCTCATTTTTCTTGAGAGAACAGAATCCCAGAGAGCTGGCAGGAGTTTTATTTAAAGTGAACCTGTACATATGTATTTTCTGGTCTGTGATTGTTACTACAGCAATCAGCTTTTGAATTTCCTTCCTTTTTCTAGGCGAACTGACTAAACATTATCACTTACCCTGAATTAACTGTTTCATTCCAACCAGCCTGATGAGAGGCTCGGGCATTTTCACTGTACTTAGAGTCCCCACTGAGGAGGGCTGTTTTCTTTTCTTTTCAATTCTTTTCCTTCCTTTTCTTTTCTTTCCTTTTTTTATGAATGCAATATTTCTTTCCAATGTAAATGTTAGCATTGGGTCATTTTTTTGTTTTGGGGGGGTCAGGATTGAAAAATATTGGTAAAGAGGTTGGTGGGGTTTGCGGAACAGGAAAAAAGCAAATCAGTGTTTCTCTTGAGTTTGTCATGTTGGTTGATAGCAGACTTCAAGATGAAGACATTAGTAGGAAGAGAGGAGGAAGCTGGTAATGAGACTGAAGGTAGAAAAATCTGTAGAATGTGTGTCAGAAAAATGAATTCCTGAGGAAAATGCACTTTACCACCTTGTTGCGTTTTTTTAAAAATGTTCTGGATGTAGAAGTCAATAGGAGAGATGCAGGCACTGAGTTATATGATCAATGATTTAAATCTTATTATTTAGACAGGAAAATAGAAACTTCTTTATTAGCACTGAAAAATTGCTAATTATCTTTTTTTTAATAATAGTTAAAATCAGAGTGAGATATTTAATTAGGGACTTAAGTGATTGAGCCTGGGGACTAAATTCATCATCTATAGATTCATGTGCTGTAGCCAGACTGACTATTAACACGTTCGAGTGAATCTTTGCACCAGAAGGCAGGCATATGCATTCATATACAGTGAGCACACTAAATGCTGCAGGAAGCAGGGCAATGAAACACAGGGCTAATGTTGTTCTCAATGGCATGTTATTATTATGTGTTGAGGGGAACCCCTGCTAAAAAGCATTCCTATCCAGAGTCAATTTTTGTAAAAGCAATTCAAGTGATAGATGGTTAACATGGATTTCCTTATTACCCTTCTCAAAGTTATACAGTAGAAAGTAAGACAGGATTATGTGAGACCATTACTCTGTTTCCAGAATTTCTCACTTGATTTTTTTAAAAAGGGTTTCTATTCTCAACATTGAGAAACAGAAATTTTAAAAACTGGGTCGTGTTAGCAGTGATATTAAGCAAGGTATGACATGCACAGTGCATTTCGAAGGGTTAGCAAGATTAACTGCATAAGACTGTAATGTACCAAATTAAGAACTGCAAAAATATTAGCTCTAAAGTGCAGAGGATGTGCTGTGAATGGACAATTGCTTTTCTGCAGCGCCTAGTGGGAAAACAAGGACCTTGTGTGTTGCAAAAGTCTAACTGCAGCTCCTCCATTTCCTCTGCTTTATCTTTTATTACTGGCTGGTGAAACAAAGGCGGGTGTCAGTAGTTAAGTCTTGATTGACATTTTCTCTAATAAAATCAAGTTGCTTTTTGTCTCAAGTAGACACCCAGAGTAACTAGTTGCAATTCCAAAGGCTGTATCCTCTTTACAAGGATTTTTACCTGACACTGTAAGCTGACCCATTTCAGAGTATACTGACTCAGTTGGACAACATGAGACAAAAATCAGTGGTGACTATAAGTCAGCAAATCAGTTGAGAAACTCTTTTTTGAATTAAATTGCTGAGGTCAGGGGTAGAAAATCCAAGCTTTATCAGGAACAGACATCAATTTAGGAGAAATAATTGCACCAGGTCCTTTTTTAAAAATATATCTTTATTCATTTCAGAGAGAGGAAGGGAGAAGGAGAGGGAGAGAAACATCAATGATGAGAGAGTCATTGATTGGCTGCCTCCTGCAAGCCCCCCCACCGGGGATCAAGCCCACAACCCAGGCATGTGCCCTGACCTGAAATCCAAACACGTTCTCCTGGATTATAGGTTGATGCTCAACTGCCGAGCCATGCTGGCCGGGCCACCAGGTCATCTTTTAATGCCTTATATGGTGTTCAGCACAAAGCTACCCATTGTTAGCTCTCAATAAATACCTAGTTGAAATGTTTGCTGAGAATTTACTACACTTTATATATTGTAAGTTATTGAAATGATTTTTCAAATATGGCATTTTCAACTGTCTGAAAAATTTTTTTGGTCTTAGTCCAGCCTAAAATATAATCTAGGAATCAATACATCAATGGTACAGAGGAGGGCATTCCCAATGTTCACTTGCTGTTATTTTCAGTCCAAATACATCTTACTCCAAATAGATGCAGAAGTACAATGACGAAGTTTTCTCAAAGTGAGAATGTACCATCTGAAAAAATGCTAATTAATTAATTTGATTTGTTCTTAGCCAGGCTCAATTCACAGGGGAAGCTACTTGTTGACTAGCAGAACATAGTGTTGGAAGAAATTTATTGTGATAAATTAATGCCAAGGAAGACTAAAAGGGCTTTATTACATTAAAGAGAACTGTCAAAATTAAGAATCAGAATAGATTTCAGAACTTCTAAATGTAAAAGCTAACAGGTATTTTAAGTGGTTCAACTCATGGTGACTTTTGGGGAGGAATTTATTGGGAGACCCTTAATGTACAAAAATTCTTCTCCAAAGAATCCACCACCCTATGGATTTAGTTCATGTATCCCAAAGAAGTCTACAGACAAGTAGGAATCCCTCTTCTAGGAGACACATTGGGCTCAAGAAGAAGGGATTTGGCTTTTGGAAATGTGGTGAGACCCTCTCTATTAGCACCTCCCCACAGTGGTATCCCCATTTCACCTGAGAATACATCTTGGGGAGTACTTCCATCACTCAATGGGAGCAGCCTTTGGGTCAGTACCAATGGCTTTTGCAAGCATCCTAGGTGGCTTTGTCAACATTCTGACTTTGATTCTTGAGATGTCGTGTACTTGGTAGATTAGCAGTTGTTGAAGTGGTTGATATGGAGATTTGGGAGAGAAAAGAGGAAAAGGAATGAGAAACCCAAACTGACTGACTGATTGTCTACTGTGTACCAGGCATTGTTAGAGATTTGAATATAGAGAGTGAAATGTCTCAAAATTCTATGTATTATCAAGCCATTTATACTTTCTCAAGAATCATGTAGGTATCTAAATGATTTAATGTATATTTAGGGAGTGACTGCATGGAGTGTGCTAAAAAGAACAGCAGACAGAGACAGGGGACAAGGTGGGCATTCTCATTCAGGCTCTAACTAGTTGGATGAATGAACCACTTGCTTACTTGACCTCAGTGTCATCATCTGTAAAATAAATTGGTTGTATTGGGTTATTTCCAACAATCCTTTTTAGATAAAACTTTTTATAATATTCTTACTCTTAACTTGGAGTTCTTTAAAAATTCCATGTATAAATAAATGTGAAAGCGTCAAACCTTTATTCAAAAAACATTTCTGCTCGCTTTTGACACGTCAATGGTTGTGCCTCTTGAGATGAAATGAATAAAATAGAGAGGTGCACAATGATTCGCACCTTCAGGAAATCTATATTATGGTTGAACATATAAATAAATAATGGAGTCTGTGCAGAGAAACGGAGGAACAAAAAAGAGTTTGGGAAGGAGGTGGTGACAAAGAGAAATGAAATAGAAGAGGTGGCTTTATACAAATTGAAATTCAAGAAAAATAACTTTTCTATCTATATAGATAGGTATTTATTTCTGTTAATGTGGTTTTAATATGATCAATTGAAGGCATTGTTATTCTTCTGAAATAATATATTTGTAATGGTGTCCTTAACAAATATAATGTTGAAGAGAGCGAAAGTTTTCTCGGTGGTTAAGATACTGTACAGGCCTGGCATGGTGAATTAAATCAGTGCATTGGTGTCATCTTCATCACCGCTTGAACTTGAAACCACTAGGGATTATAGAAGCAGTAGTCCTTCAAGAACTTTGACAGCAGCCCCAGATGCCAGCTGCCATTTGGTACAAGCCAGGAAGCTTCCCAAGCTGTGGTGGGCTTGATTGTTGATGCAATGTGGTGTTCTGGGAAATACCCTCAACGTCAGGAAACCTCACATAGTGGCTCAAAACTTCTAGATGACCTGTGTGAATTCAGGCAAATTTCTTAAACTTTGGAGCCCTCGGTTCCCTTATCTTTAATATAAATACTGTTCCAATGTTTCTAGGATGCCTTTCTCCTTTCCGATTTTTGTGCTTTACCCTGGCAAGATTAATGTTGACATAATAGCATTAATTTTTTTTTACTGCCACCTCTCCCATCCTTTATTTTCACTTTTCTTCGTAGCTTACCTTTATTCAGCCATCCAAATTTACATAATTTCACCTCCAAAATTTCTCTCCAGGCAGACTGTTGCTCCCCAGTGGAGGTCATCTGTTCTTGCCCTGTTACTCTTCTGTGAGGCTGATGTGCTTCTCCCTGGTGGTGGCACTTCCTTCAGACAGTAGAGGGGACATGCTCTGTGTTCATTGTTGCTGGGACTTGAATGTTACATGACAAGTGTCTTCTTCCTAAGTGCCAATCAGCGTTCTAGATTTTGTATATTATTTCATTTAATATCTCCTCAACTCTAATTCTGGTGTCTTTAGAGACTAACTTAAACCATGTTGATAAGTTAATTGGAGGAATCCTCAGAAGAAAAAATTTTGGTGCATTGGTTGTTCATTGAGTATCTGCTCTGAGACCTTGACCCCATGGTACAGAGTCCCTGCCTCATCCTACTGGTGGGATTTGATGCAATTCAGCTCCCTGAATCCAGGCACTGGTGGGATCCTATGTAGGCCAGAGCATTACCGCTGGGGTCTTCTCTGGGTGAGGCTTTATACGTAGCAGCTCAAGCATGGAAAATAGAGAACAGTGTTTGTAGTTTGGGGTAAACCTAAAAATAACATGACACAAAAACACAGAAATCAATTAAATCAATATGTAATTTTTAATATGCTAA